CCACCAAATCCCGGGAATTTCTGGAAGCCAACGCCAAGGGAAGGAGACGGGTCTGTGCCCCCCTGACCCTGGGGGAACCTCCTCATTTAACCCTTCAGCCTCCAAACTCCCTCAAAGCTCAGGAACAATTCCCAGGGGGAAAAAACCCACCCCAAAAAAACCCCAACCAAAACAACTTCTACCCCATCATCTAGTGCCTTTAGCTTCTTGCCCCCACCCACAAGCGTCCCTGCCTGTGAGTGGGAAGCCTAGTTGGGCTGTTTGGGCATCACTATCACAGCTACAAGTTTGTAATTTTGGATGCATTTCATTGGACCTGATTTTCTTGAAGTGCCAGTGCGGGACTAGAGGTGCAGAAGCTGGTAGGGAGGGAGAGCAGACAAGAAAAGAGAAGCACAAATTAATGTTTGGCAGTAACACGTTAAGGAACAATGAGAAACGTGAAAATAAAAGCCCAGACTGCACCGGGCCAAGGTAATGCTGGGCGGCAGTTTCACCATCAGTGAACACCCCACAGTGACCTCCGCTGGGAACTGTCCCCACGGAGGGGGCTGCTGCTGTCGGGGGGGTTATCTTACAGAGTACAAACACAAATAAGAAAACAGAAACCATTAACACAGACCTAGGAGCGACAGACACTGACCCCACTACGGCTACTTTAAAAGTCTCAGCTCAAAACCAGTTTCACTCCTACCACAGACCTCGACCTGACACCAACAGCTACACAGCTACAAGCCCTGAATCTCCAGCTCTCGACTGGCCGTGAACATCTCCTGCTTGTGTCCCTGGGCTGAAGAGGCAGCTGCCACACTAAACCACGTCCCTGCGCTTCTCCAGCACCGCTGAAGAGATCCAGGTGCCCCACAGCACCGCTGCGAAGCGGGTGTGAAATCCCTTTTGAGATCTGACTGAAATTTGCCAGCTTGGATCTGTTAATCTTACCAGCTTCTCCCCTCAGCTACTTCTGCACCTGCCAACCAGCAAAACACAGGGAGCTGGGAAGTCCTTGATTTCCCAACAACAACTAAAAACATCAGTATATTATCAACATTCTTCTCGTAACAAATCCCATACTTACACCAAAACACAGCACTGTTTAGCTACTGAGAAGAAAATTAGCTCTATCCCAGCCAAAACCAGGACAGACAGGAACGGAAACCGAGGCACTGAGGTGACACGGGGCTGGTAAGGCAACAGCGGGACTCAGTAAAACCCAGATCATCTAATTCCCAGTCCTGAGCTTTACCTCGCACTCCTTCCCAGGGACCCTGATATCCCTGACAATACTCTGCATTTAAAAAGAACTTATGGTCAGTTTTGTTCATGAAGCTTCACAACATCTCTGGGTAAAATTATTAAGATATAACGGAAGATAATGGAGAAGAGAAAATCTGAGCAGCTGCTTCATCATGATGCTGGTCAAACCCCAAACACTGAGAATGGAGAGTAAGTGTAATGTAAACTACATCTTAAAAAACTATAGATAGTTTATAGTTTCCTATAAACTCCATGATTTAAAATCTCTTTTCTGTCTGACCTCACGCTGTAAACAAAGAAGTCAGACAGGACAGTCCACGAGGAGCATCACCAGGCTGGAGCAGGTCTGCAGCAGCCTGGCAGGGTGCTCTGCAGGCAGGAGAAGGCTGATAGCACCGAAGGTACCGAGCTCAGAGCCCCGAGGACTACGGAGCCTGATCCTCTCTTGGTCAGAATTCATCCCGTAATCTTGGTGGGTGGTCCATGCCAAAAAACGAGGAGGGTTTTCCATGCACGTCACGTTCTCTTTTCACAAAGGCAGTAAAAGAAGAGACACAGTTCCCGATAAAGTGATCGGACTGGCCAAGAATGTACAAATCAATCTGAGGCACCTCTGGCTGCAAGCTAACCACCTTGATCTGCAGGAAACAAGGAAAGGAAATGAACCCAGTCAGCTATTCTTACCATCCAAATGCCCTGGCATAACATCAGAAATGAGAATGCACAATAAAAAGCGAGTGGATTTTTCTGAAGTTTCCCTAGAACTTATACATAAATAGATAAATCTAAAACCATTTTTGAAATTCACTTAGGATTATTTAAATGAAGGCTTTTTCAAGGAGAAATCTATGACCATGCAGGATAATGCTCTTCCACCTCTAGGAAAGGGAGTTTTTCAATATAATTTTTATTGCTATGAGCAAAATTTACTCCGAGATGCCAATATTTGTCTGTGAATAACACGTGACACAACTGCCCGGTTGCTGTCTGTGCCAGCAACAGCCAGATCAAAGGAAGCTGTTCATTACGCGCTCCCACCAGAACAGGTTTCTGAAAGACTTACCTTTCCTTGGAAGAGCTGCTGGATCTCTGTTGTGTAGGGCTCAGAATCAGTAGCAATATAAACAGATTTAGCTTCTATCTTCTCCACCCAGAGCCTGAGAGCACGCTTGATCTCCCTGAGGTCTGGCAGGCACATGTCCATGGTAAGAGCGACCGCAGCGCTTCGGTCGTAGCCCACGCACTGAGGCGACGCCATGAAGTGTGGCCCAGCCGTCCCGTCCTTTAGCATATTGCAGGCATTTTTCTGTTGGAAAAAGAGAAAAATATAACATTTGAATGGCAACAGGGTGAGAAAACACAACGACGTCCCTCAGCTCTGCCAGCAGCGTTAAAGCCTGTTTGAAAGAGGAATCCCAGCAGCGCTGTGAACACGCAGCGAGTGACTGAAGGCCAGCGGGGCTGGGGCTGCCACCCCAGGAGCAGCAGCTGCACTTCAGGCAGCTCCTTCCACACAGGTTATAGCAACTGCACAGCAACCAGCAACCAGCCTCACCCCGGAACCGTACCCAGTCAGAGCCGATCCTCAGGTGGATCCCCACGTAGGGCCTGACCAGCAGAGAATGAATGTAGGCTTCTCCTTTCTTCACCATCTCATCAGACCACACGATGTACTTCTGGAGGGGCCGGTGCTCCTCTAAGACTGGAAACTGGGCTGGAGCTCCAGGTAAGGCAAGTACAGGGTGCTCAGATGGTGAAAATCTATTGGGGGGAAAAAAACAAGAGACCAAAACATGACATAACCTTGCAGGCAGCATCTTGCACAGAGACGTGAATTTCATGGAAGTTAGAATGGAAACTATGAACACTCTGAAATATGCAGCTTCTGCTGCTCCAAATTTACCCAAGACGAATCGTTTTGCCCTGGGAACAGAACACTGAAGCAAAACTCAGGTGCTTCACTTTATCACAAACCCAGCACCAAAGGAATTAGTGTTATTTGAGAGATAAAAGATAACAACGAGCTACCAAGCAAGGAGAGCTTTAGTTTTCACCCAGACTAGAGCAATTCTGTCACCCAAACTCACTGACACCACTGAAGCGTCCCTGACAACATGAGGTAACCAGCAAAACACAGCAAAATGAGCAACTGAGAACTGAATTCTTTTTGAAGAATAATTAAATGTGCAGCCAATAAAGACTGTAACTACACAGAGCTCAGAAATCAATCAGCCTAATGGCACTTGCCTCACACTGCCTCCAGGAAGAGTGTGTTCAGGAAATATTTCATGGAAAAAGCATTCAGATTTTTAATTTCATTGCTAACTAACCACTTCAGTCTCTCCCCAAAATGCAAAGGCTTTCCACAGTGCCTCGCACGACTGTTGTCACGAGTTATTCACTAGCAGCACACCAGCACTCTTCCATCTCCTCACTACCTTCGGATCCAGTGGTCCTTGTACGCAGGACTGAAGGACATTCCCTTGAAGAGCTCAGACTTATCAAAATCCACTTGGAACTGATCCCAGAAGGGACCAAAGGGATTTCCATCCTGCAAAGGAAAGACAAGGGTTCATTTTGTCCCTGCTCAGGTCCCTTCCCACCCAAACCCAAACTGCTCTGGGATTCTATGATTCTGTGACTGCACCACAAATGCGATGGGGCAGAGACCCCTTAGTTGTCCCAGA